CCGGGCGGGCCCGTGCCGCGGCCTGGCGCCGCCGCCGCGCCCGCTCCTCTGGCGCTGCCCGGTTTCCCACCGCGAAATGGAGCAGAAATCGGGCTAGGACAGCCCAGCCTTGCAAGGGCTCGTCCTTCTGATTAACTTTATATGCCAGTTAAGTGTGAGCGTGATGGCCTGCACCTAGAGCTGTTCTACATTCTTGAAATTAATCAGTTGCTTACGTTAGCTTTTAAATGAATATATGCCTTAATGAACCCATAAGAAGGATTTTTTGGTTGCGTTTGTGTGACTAACATTTGGTAATGTACCGAGATGCCAGATGAGAGTTTAAAAATGAGTTCTATGAGTCCTGTTTCACAAAACTAACTCGTTCATGTTTCCATTTTTATAGGAAGAAACAAGAATGGCACAAAAACAGCTGAAAGAAGCCTTTGTCAGTAACTTGAATGGAACTACTTTGCTGGAAATTTCATTAGGCTTTTCTGTAGCTCCATTATGTCTGCTTTGCAGAGGACTTCTGTTGATCTTATATTATCTGCACTATGGGAAACCGTTAAGTTTAAGGAAATACAATTTGCTGCTAGATTTTGTTGTGCTGATATCTCCTCTCCTGTTTTCCTGCACAGTCTTGGCTCCGGTCATCTTTTGTGTGCCTCCCATCATTGCAGCCATCTGTGCAGGAATATTTTCTAAAATATGCAGCCAAAGAAAACATGACGGTGGGGTGTCTTTTAGGCAAATTGTAAATGACTTCCAGAAGACATACTTAGATCCAGAATACATTCCATCAATAACTCTGTTCCGTGTTTATGTCAATGTGTTGACATCAATCAGTATATTAGCAGTGGATTTCCCACAATATCCAAGACGATATGCCAAAACCGAGACCTATGGAACAGGAGTTATGGATTTTGGGGTAGGAGCCTTTATTTTTTGTAATGCGCTTGTGTGTCCTGAAGTTAGACAAAAATCATGTGCAACACAACCAAAATTTTCCTTTCTGACCAGACAGTTTTTTTCCATTTGGCCATTAATTTTTCTTGGTGTGGGACGACTGGTTAGTGTTAAATCTATAGAGTATCATGAACATATTTCAGAGTATGGAGTGCACTGGAATTTCTTTTTTACCTTAGCATTTGTGAGACTTGCAGCATCTCTAATTTTGACCATATTTCCAAAAAGTAAATCTTGGATTGTTGCTATGAATCTTGCTGTATTTTATCAGCTTATTCTTAATATTACCTCTCTGAAGATGTTTATCTTGCATGGGAGCAATGGCAAAGATACTAGGGTTGGGTTTTTAAACGCCAACCGGGAAGGACTGTTGTCACTCTTTGGATACCTCGCCATATACATGGCTAGTGTGCAAGCTGGACTCTATCTGCTGAAGCGCAGAAACTCTGTCAAAGAGTGGATTGAAGCACTGCGTTCCCTAATCCTGGTGGTTCTTGTGCTCTTTTTATTTCTTCATTTGTCACAAGTACACATAGACCCCGTGTCTCGCCGGATGGCTAATCTGCCTTACTGCCTATGGGTACTTGCTCACTGTCTGACTTTCTGCATCGGTTTTGTAGCAATTGATCTCATGCTGGTCTTTACAAAGCTTCTGGTGAGGGGGGCCAGTGTGCCCTGTTCCTGGAATGTTTTACAGCCTGCCCATTCCAGTAAAAAGCATGACATGGAGACTGTGCCTGCCAAGGGGGAAAGCAAGCTGCTGCACATTTGCCTGATCACTGCTATTGATAAAAATCAGCTCCTGTTTTTCTTGCTAGCAAATGTTATGACTGGCGTTGTAAACATAATGGTAGATACAATTCACAGCAAGACTTCATTTGCATTAGGTGTGCTACACTTGTATATGTTTTTTAACTGCTTAATTATGTATTTGTTGCATGCAAAAAATATAGTATTAAAATTTTGGTGATTTCACTTAACTGGACCAGTTAAACTTTCTTTGCTGCTTTTGAATGATGGTGTTTTAATGGAAAAATGAATATATTTTTCTGTATGTATGGCTGCATAGATGCAGTAATCTATAACAGTATAATTATGATTTAGCATTAGGGGATATATGTTTTAGAAAATTATTACCTGTTGTTACCTGTTGGAGGCAAGGCACTGTTTCTAAAAATACAGTTTTTGAGATCGTTTGCTGAATACTCATACTGCTCCTATAAACAGTTATGCAGACGAACAACATTATGACTAGTGAATTCTTTGTGGGTTCGAGAGATATATTCATATGCAAGTGCTGGTGTGATTAGGTAACAGTATATAGAGTAGTAGCGAGATGAAAAGTAAGAAAATGAGTAATTAGATAGAGAGAGGCTTAGCTGTGTCAAGATTTACCTACATAAGGCCCTCACATAGATAATACATAAGAATAATTTTTATATAAAATGTATTGAATAAGTGGATACTTACTTAAGAATGTTTTGGCCCTGGTCCTGCAAAGATTTATGCATGTGCTTGCCTTTGATGGGAGTATGTGGAATGTTAATCATACACTGAAATCTAAATTAGCCTGTGAATTAAAGCTAAATTTTATTTTCATCCTCAGTGGTGAATATAAATGAAGACCCTCGATAAAGAATGATGCTCTGAAGGATAAAACTCAACTGCGGATGAATTCATAAAGCATTTGCTGGAATTTGTGGTGCAGGTAATAAGAGTTGCACAGCCTTTTATAAGAAAATACAAAGATATAAAATAACCAGCACTCCCAACTTGCATCCCAACTTGTTGTGACAGTTCATCTTTAGGAATGCTGTAAGATGTGGGCTTCAGCTCTACTTTAAAAGCACTCAGGCCCACCTACTGCTCTATAAAATTGTTTTGAATAGTAGTTTATTTAGAATCGTGTTTTGACAGCTGAGATGTCTCCAAGTTGGAACATTCTGTATTAATTTTATTAGCAAACAAACATCATGCAAGTAGAAAGAATCAGGAGCAATGGGTCTGGGGTACTAGCGCAGTGCTGACAAGAGCAGTTTCTCCATCTATAAAAGTCTTCCTGCAAGCGCAGGGTGTTCGGTCCTTTCTGTTCACTTTCCTAACTGCGTGGTGCATGTAGCAGTTCTTTCTGATCTCATTAAGTTGTTGAGAAATATATTAAAGATTGTGAGGAATTCAGAAATGGAATATCTAAATACTTAGGAAGTATAATACAAGTGGTCATTGATGGTAAATATCTGGTGTCAGTGCACGTGGGCCAGAAGTTAAAATTTCCTTGTCTATCAAACGTTATCTTAAAAACTTGTGGAAACTGAGGCTTTGAATCAGATTCCTTAAGGCAGACATGCTGTGGAATATCCCTAAATACATGAAGTTCTCTCTGGGTTTAGCCAATGAAAAGGTGAAGTCAGGATTATGTACTCAGGCTGTGCTGATCTCACACTTGTTTACTTCCGAGTTATAGTGATACATTCTTCAGAATTAAAGAAAAGCAGCCTGTATTATCCTGGGGACAAATGTAATTACAAGATGATTGTCACAGTTTATACCAGAGTTTTCTCTGGTATATTTAACTGGTTCATTTATATAAAACATGGGCCTTGCCTAGGGAAGAAGGGCCTCCTTAATAATGAACTGAATGGCACTGCTCATTTATGCAAAACTACTCATGGATATTAATTTTCGAAGTATTTGAAGCACAAGAACGGCAACGAGTTCTGCCTGCGAGCACAAGTCTATCAATATGATTCAAAATTAAGGCATTAATTGGGTGTGACAAAGCTGAGTTGTGTCTGGACAAGCAGCAAGCTATCTAGACGCCAACTCCATTTTGTGAAGCAAAAATTCTGTGGGAAGTGTGCTGTGTCTGCGCAGAGCCGGCTCGCTCCGCACAGCAGCACTCTGCAGACACCCTTCCCGGCTGCCGCTCTCGTTGGTTAGAGCAGCTGTAACAGCAGAGCTCAACAAACGTGCAGGGCTGTGCGGCACAGGGGACACGAGTGACAATGCCTGGCTCATCTCACCAGTGCCACAGTCGCGGCGTGGCAGCACACCGCATGGTGGGGCAGCCTCCCATTTTTAAGCCTCATGAGGCAAGGCTTTCATCGCTGCATTAATGAGATGATTAATTCTCATTACTTATTGTCAATAACAAACGTGGCAAATTCTGCCCCGCAGCAACTGGCATAGCTGCTAATCCCGAATGTTTGGCCTGTGAATAGTTGTGGATATTTAACTATGCTTCTGAAAGAACCAAGAAATGCAAGCGAGCACGCTTTGATCACAGGATTGGTACGAGAAAACGGCACTGCATGAGGTTGGGAAGATGCTGGAGAAATTAACAGTGCAATACTGCTGTAAACACTTTATCCACATACACGTTAATGGCCATTAACGGTTGGTAGGAGCAAGAAAGTTAAATTGCATTTCACTTTTGGGTTTGTTTAGATGAACAAACTTACACAGATCTATATATAAATATGAAGGAAATCTAAATATTTGATTTAGATGTTACATGGTTAGTAAAAGATATATATTTCAATTAATAAGACTAAAATGCAGGTTTATAACATGCCATTGACTTGAATAGTAAAGCTTAGCATGGGGAAAACAAAAATGTTGCTTTGTCTTTGCTCCACCAAATGATTATGGTATTTTTGTAGGGCTGCAGGACAGAAAAAAAAATGTGGGAGGGCAGAGCTGATGATGTTTATCCTTAAGCCTGTTATTTGTTAAACACTACTGGTTTCCTCCCGAAGTTATTTTTGAGATTGGTTCCAAGAGCAGTGTGCCTTCCCTTCCACTCCAGTGACGTCTTTTCAAAAAGACAAGCGTTATTCGAGCAAGCATCGTATTTCCATGCTTCTGTGCCCTGAAGAACAGGTATTTTTTCCAGGGA